TAACAAAGGGTTTTGATTTCAGATTTTTTACCGTGATTTATATGCATTAGTTAAGGGAATTACATACATGACAAAAGTTCATGTCCGGAATTCCGGACAGGAACCGCCGTCCGGACGGCGGCGTTTGGCCGCCTTCCCGGTGGCATTTTTTGATGAAATTTTTATGGCATGTTCTACATCAAGTCTAGTTTATCCACACAAAAATTCAGCCAAAAACTCAATCGGGAAGGTGGTCAAATGATTTTTTCAAGTTAACTGGTCCGGAATATGTATTTTCCGGACCAGTTAACTTGCAAAAATCATTTGATGACCTTCCCGAATGATTTTTTGGCTGAATTTTTTTGTGGATAAACTAGACTTGATGGAGAACATGTCATAAAAACTTCATTGAAAAATTCCACCCGGAAGGCGGCCAAACGCCGCCGTCCGGACGGCGGTTCCGGTCAGGAATTCCTGACCGGAAGAGTACTCTTACATACATATACATATCCATTTAAGACTTCTGTCTTTATATTCCCAAGTTAGAGTTGGAGTTCAGGGGACGACGTCGTCGTGTGTGTGAAATAAAAGCAACAATGGAATTAATGAATCACAGTACAAATTTGTTGGTTTTAAAGGCCTGATTTGGTTTAATGTGAAGAAGTATTTAAGAGCAAAAACGGATTAGAGAAGCTGTTAAGATTTGGAACCAACCTTCGCCGTTCTTCAGAAGCCATTGATGCCATAACTGGAGAAGAAAACTTTTCTCCACTGCTATGTTTTTAAACCGAAGAAGAGGAGGATACGAACTGGGCAGAATAGGAATATAGACGAAATTTCCAAACGGCCAGTACGTAAACGCTGGGATTATTGGCGTTTTCTATTTTGGCTGTTTCGGATCAAAAGCCAAATGAAAAAGCCAAGTAACCAAACACACCAATTAGCTGTTTATCTGGTCAAAAGGCTAAATAGTAGTCAAATTAGCCAAAAATTGGCTGATAGGCTTATAACCAAACACCCCCATAGTGTTATGTGTTCCCCCACTTCATTCTAAGACCATTTGTAGTGGTCAAGAGTCCAAATTGTTAAATTTGGACTCCATTCATATGAAAACAGTGTTTAGACTCTGTCAATATTGTTTTTCCCTGCACTCGTGCACCGTCAATAAAATACACTCTACATATTTTTTAACATATCAATTTAGTAAAACATTAACTAAATTATTATAACTGATGTTTTACTTTTATTTTTCTCTCTAAATAATTATGAAATAAAAAATACACATTTCGATGTAAAAATAAGTAAATTCCATTATTTTTTTTAATGTTTTTCAGATAACAAAAAATGAACTTAGTTCAAGTAAAGTTCGATTATGGAATATTAAGTCACTTTTGAAGGCTCCATTAATCATAATTTTGTGTTTCATGTTTTTTGGGCTCAAGAAAACTTCAAACAACTAAAATTTTAGATTTTAGTTTTTCATTTTATATAATACATATCGGTGTCATATGAAAGATCTTAAACATTCATAAATATTGATATAGTTTTTGAAACGATTGGTGAAGAAATACAAAAGTTATGGATAGGGGTGTGCACGGGTCGGGTTCGGACGGGTCGGGTTTGCGAACCCTAAACCCGTTCGGGTTTTTTAATTTAAATATTAGGCCCGACCCTTTAATATTTCAAATCGGGTATTTCGGATATTTTTAAGTCGGATATTATCGGATATCGGGTCGGGTTTCGGATATTTCGGTTATATTAAAAAAAATTATAATTGGATAATTAAAGTGTTCAAATGCCACTTTGACAAAAATTGTACACACTAGTGCACTAAACTTCCAAATTACACAAATAATTTAACACAAATTGCACAAATAATTACACAAATAATTGAACAAAAGTAATAATTTAACATATTCAAAGTACACACTACATAATTTAATATATTTTGGATATTTTGGTTATATCAAAACACATTATAATTGGATAGTTAAAGTGTTGGAATGCCACTTTAACAAAAATTGTACACAATAATTCACTTCACATTCAATTTACACAAATAATTTAATACAAATTGCACAAATAATTACACAAATAATTGAACACAAGTATTAATTTAAATATTCAAAGTACACACTAAACATATATTTCGGATATTCGGGCGGGTCGGGTTGGGATTTCACAAACCCTACCCGCCACCCAGTCTAGGCCCAATACTAATCGGATTTTCGGTTTCGGGTTTTTCGGGTCGGATATCCACTTCGGTTCGGATAATATCCGAAAAAATATCGGGTTTTTCGGGTCGGATCGGGTTTTGCTCAGCCATAGTTATGGAAGTTTGAAACAATTTGAAGTAATAATGACATCACCGTGAAGTAAGTCTCCCTTCTTACCAAGCCCTGCAGGCCGCCCCTCTCTCATTTTCTTTTTTTGAACTCTGTCAACCCAAGCATATACTTATACACTTCTTCACTTCCTTTTCCATTTTTGCTCCCTCTTTTAATCTTTCACTACATTTAATTAAGAGTCTAAAAGTTCCATTTTTAATCTTTTGACTTCTAATCCTTAACCAATAACCACTACAAATAGTCTAAACTACAATAACGCCTAGGAATTACACCTCTTAGTTAATCGGTGAAACAAATTCAACCACAGAGCTCTGCCGTCACACGAATTTACTGGCTCCAGGAGCTGTCTCCCTGCTACCGGAGAATTGACATCCACCTCCGCCACCATAAATGTCCAATTGCACCTGTAACTTTCTACCTCAATGTATATGGTATCCTGAATTTTCAATTGAATTTTCAAATGAATTTTGAAGCGAGAGAATGGGAAAGAGATAGAAGCAAGGATATTTTAGGCAGGTTTGGGGTATATAAAATTAGCTAAATAGCTAAATACTTGGACTGATCTATTGACGGATTGAGTTGTAGTTAGGATGTTTTTACTTCGACTGTAATTTGCTGGTCTGGTCTGATAGTGTCTGGTCTCTTAGCTAAATACAAACGTTGGCTGGAGTAACGTTTTTGTTCAACACACTTTTTTCAATTTTAGCTCCATGTAGTCTATCATCCAAACAGTGATAATTCTCCATTTTTTGGCTGGACTTCAAAAAAATCTAGCCCATTATGAGTTGAAAAGGCATGCCAAACATAGCCTAAGACTAAGGATGTTTTCACTTGGACTGTAATCCGTCCCAGATTAGACTAGACCAGATCAGACTGAACCAGACTTGGATAGTTATAAAAATACAAAGAGACCAGACACTATCAGACCAGACCAGCAAATTACAGTCCAAGTAAAAACATCCTAACTACAACTCAATCCGTCAATAGATCAAATTTGTCATCAACTATTTTGAAAAACAACGTTCTTCGTTAAAGAATTTAAGGGAGTTGAATCTGAAATAAATTAGCTTAGTGAAACTAGTGTTTGTATTCCGGCGATAGAATGATTTCAAAAGAATCCCCTACACCATCTAGACAAATTACCTCTAAGGTCAATTGTAATGTTATGATATTAGGAGTTTAAATTGCTAGATTTGGATGTTTTGGATTCCTGATTGTGTGTAGTCGTAGATTAAATAGGGGTGAAAAGTGGGAAGGAGTTGGAGGGAGTTCAATATAGAGGGAGCGTTGATAGGAGGGAAGAAAAACAAAAAGGAAAAGAAAAGAAGGGACGATAGAGAGCCTAGGACGCATGTGGTGCTACCGATGACGACATGCTGATGCCATCCTTGCTGATTTCAAATCATATATAAAAATTCATAAATATTTATTATCTTTCATATTACACTAAGAGCCCGTTTGGTAACTTTGTTTTCAACTTATGAGGTTTATCAGTCAACTTTTTCACCAAATACGTAAGTTTTGATTTTACGCGTTGGGCTATTTAATAATAAGACAAATAAAGTAATATTGGAGTTACTTCTGTGGCTGTATTGGCTGAAGTTACTAAAGAGAATTATTTTAATTAATTTTTCATATAATATTTTCTTTATTTAATTTTTTTCCATAAATCAACAGAATCAACGAATTCAGCCACATCAGTCAGAACTTCATAAATTTCAGCAGAATCAGCCAATACAGCCGATTTAGGTATTACCGAACGAGCTCTAGTACTACGTATTACATATATAATGTGTGAAAAATATATGAAGTTTTAATTGTTGGATTTATTTCGGTCCAAAAACACGAAACTCATATTTTAAATTCGTGGAGCCTACGAAAACACGAAACTCATTTTTTTATCATAAGAAATGTTTTTTTTTTAACATTGAGATGTATATTTTTTAATTCATAATTATTCTAGGAAAAAATTAAAATGAAAACGAAACATTACTTAAAATAATTTAATTAATGTTTTACTAAACAGATATGTGACGGCACTGAAGTCGTTGTGTGCTTCAAAGTATTAATTCAATACTTGTACTAATACCAAAGTATAGAATAGTAAGGATCGTATCCACAGAGAAAGAAATATCTTTCTTTTATGAAATTGTAACAAGGGGGCTTTTAAGATTGTTTTGAACTTAAGGGTATTTAAACACTAAAGATGAACGACTTGTGTTTTAAATTAATAGAGATGCAGATTTGGTTTTGCTTATATCCACTTAGTGAAATGTTTGTCAAGCCTGATTATATCTTTAACTATCTCCCTCTCGAATACTCAGTCGTGGAGTATTTCCAATTCATCGAGGGTAGTTATTAGTAACTATCTAGCCAATATAGAATGCACGCCTTATATTGGCCTGATAACAGTATTTAAACTTTAGATGAAATCAACTGAGATTGATAACCTCAACACAAGCGGTTTATTGGTTCAATCAATATAATTAATCTCTCTTAGATCATTAATCATGAGACGCATGCATTAATTAATAATCTAATTAAGGTTATTTTCGTTGAAAGGGCCGAGCGAATAACAAGCGCATATGTCGATCAATTCTAGTAATAATTAATATGTAGTATATGAAAACAAAATTAGTTGATCCTTTAGGTAATGCTCAAATATTAATATGAGATCTAAATATGAAGGTAATTAATATTCAAGGAATATGATTTTAGAAAATAACTTACACCTTACAAAACACAAGCTTCAATGTAGCAAAACCAAGATGAGAAGAGTTTAGCTCCTCATTAATTTGGAGACTAAGCATGCTAGAGAATATAAAGAAAACTTTATTCTAAACTGAGCTTAAGTTTATGGAAGAAGGAATATCCAAATAAAAAAGAAAAATGGTGTATTTATAGGCATTTGAAGGTGGCAAAGTCTGGTACCCGATCAGGTACCTTAAGCAGTCGGAAGGTGCTGAAATCACATCCAACCCGACCGGATTGAGTACAAACCCGACCAGATTGAGTACAAACCCGAGCGGGTTGGGTACCAACCCGACTGGGTTGAGTGCAACATTAGATTTCCATGTTCTTTTGATCTTCGGCACGTCTTTTTGTTCGATGTCAACATAAACCCGACCGGAATACGTATTAAATCGGATATTTCCCATGTTGTATTGATCTTCGTCATGTTCCATTGTCCATGTCAACTCAACCCGATCGGGTTTGACACGTAGTTTCTTGATTGCTTCATAGTCAATTCCAATCTGACTAGGTTATGCTCCAACCCGACCGGGTTATGTACCATCACATAAATTTATGCTTTTTCTTGCCTTTCTTTGGTACCTATAATACTCTTTTACATCTCTTTTGGTACTTCCAACAAAATACACAAAAAAAATATAAATTACATTCTATAAAATGAATCTAAAGAGTACATCACAAACTCAAGTAAACAAGTAAAAACAACAAATTAAACTAACAATTACAAATGGCAAACTTATGCACTACAGAATGGTGCATATCAATATGTAAAAAAATATGAAGAGTGTATTTTATTGACGATGTTGGAATGCAAAGAAAAACGGTATTGACAGAGTTTATACATTGTTTTCATATCAACAGAGTCCATATTCGAATTGATCTTTGTCTATATATAGCTGCATTTTTAGACATCTGAAAACGATTCACCATTTTCATTTTATATGTAAGGAAACTGACCGCAACGAAACTCTAAGGAGTAGAATTATAGGACATTATTCACCTGCTCTGTTTAGTCGACCAACGATGTCATTGGAGTATCACTTCAAATTCAGTGTCATTTTATGTGTCTCACTTTGACTTGACACGATTATTAATAAAGTGGTTAAAAAAGTAAAAGTTGTGGTTGATATTTGAGTATAATAAAGTGAAATTTTGTAGGTCACATATTTCTTTCCAAAAAAGGAAATGAGACACTTATTTAGGATAATCCAAAAAAGAAAGTATGACAGATAAAATGGGATGGAGGAGTATTACTTAGAGGGTACTGATGTATTGTACTTCTTTATTCTTAGAATTACTCCCTCCATCCCTAATAACTTTGTCAAGTTTGACCGGCACGAGGATTAATAAAGTAAAAATTGTGTGATTGAGATTTGTGGAGAGAAGAGAGAATTAACTAGAACCACAAATTCTTTATTTATATGGGAAAGTGGCAAAATTAATGGGGCGTTCAAAAAAGGAAGATTGACAAAGTTAGAAGGGACGGAGGGAGTAGTTTTTAGATTACAATGTTGCTATGTAGTTAAAATTCGTATTCATAATTGCGTGTGAACATTTACTAATCCGTATTATGTTACTCCATACGGAGTATTTTCGTATGAATGATTTATTCTTACTCATATCTTTCACTAGCTTTCAAGCCCGTGCGATGCACGGGTAGTACATAATTTAGCTAACTGTATATTTGATATTTTCGAAATCATATATAATTAATAAAAGTAATTCAAATTTATATGAAAAATATTTAAATTGGACTTCTACATAAGCATCTCAACTAAACATAATGGTTATGAACCCGATTTTAAAGAATTCATACAAAAGTTTCTTAATTAATTTCACATCCTCTATATTACTTCATTAAGCATCTAAAAAACTATTTTTAAATATTTCTCATTCAACATGTGGTATGAAATAAGTATTTGTAAATTTATTAGTGAGCTCTTACATTGTACTCATTATTTTGTCACATTGAAATGTAAAAAAGGGATCATTTTTACAATTTACTCATTTATTTCGTCACATTGAAAATGTCATTAATAAGGATATTTTCAATTAGATTGACATGTTCATTTCTAACTTGGTCTGGAAGATGTCTATTTTATGTATAATAATAATAATAATAATAATAATAATAATAATAATAATAATAATAATAATAATAATAATAATAATAATAATAATAATAATAATAATAATAATAATAATAATAATAATAATAATAATAATAATAATAATAATAATAATAATAATAATAATAATAATAATAATAATAATAATAATAATAATAATAATAATAATAATAATAATAATAATAATAATAATAATAATAATAATAATAATAATAATAATAATAATAATAATAATAATAATAATAATAATAATAATAATAATAATAATAGTAATAATAATAATAATTATTATTATGATTGATATTTGATCCGATCTTGTCTAAGTGATAGGGCCCTGGGCTGTAGAGAATTATAAAGTAGTAATAGATTGATATTAAATAAGTAGTTATTGTATAAATAAGAATTTTGGGTCAGGTTATAAAATATGGGCTGGCCCGTTAGAATATAAGTACTATAAGAGTGGGAAGGAGAGAGGGGGAGGTTAGGCAGAACTTGGATTGGACTGGAACTTGGGAGAGACGAGGCACTCTCGAATTTGCCCTCATCTGTATCGTCACTTTTTGTTTCTTCAATTTCAGTTTAGTAAATAACCAATTCATCGCCAGATTCTTCCCTGTACCTATCATTGGTATCAGAGCAGTTGTCCTGGGAAGCTTCGATCTAAGTCACGCGGTAAAAGAAATGGAGCGGCGCGAGGACTATCGAAGGTCAGAACGGAAAGCGATCGCCTCTGGTTTGCGCGCAAACACTGAGGAGTGTGTGTCTACTCATGGCGGAAAGGAACTGCGCAGAGAGCATGGAAGATCCTATCAGGATGCGTCGCTCAGAAAAGGAGAGAAGCTGGCGGAAAAGGTTGAAAGTGATTGGGCTAAGGAGATGCGCCATATGTTTGGCAAAATTCGACACAGACTCAAGCGACATAGAGACCGAGCTAGAAGCCCTCCTAGACACCGTCGGCCAACTTACTATCAGGTATCATCTTCGTCCCCAAGTGCGCAGACTGTGTCGCATGAAGAAGCTCCCAGATCGCAATTGACAATTTCTAACAGTTCGCATACTCAAATTTCCTCTTCGCAATCGCAAACGTCATCACTGACTGCTTCACCTTCGTCTCGAACAGTAGCTTCTAGTTCTCAGGGGTTTCTGCAAGCAACTTCTCCTAATCCGTCAGATTTGCGGCCAACAGTCGTAGTCGCTAGCAACTTCTCCAGTTCGAAGCCGCAAGCCAAGTCTCTGAGTTTGCAGGTTTCCTCACTCGCCCGATCTCACAGCTCATCCTCGTTTGTCCTTTCTCACCTTGTGTTAGATTCACCCGCCTGCAAAACCATCGACTTAGTCGCATCAGGAAAGGGACTGCAGGGGACTCAACTAACCACAATGAACACAGAATTGAAAACAGCTGCACCTTCAGTCCTGGAGTCGAAGCCAGAAGAGGATACATCGCAACCTACTGGAGCTCTACCTGATAGTCCGAGAGATCCTTGGAAACCAAAGATGTACAACAGTAATGACAGTCCTGGCTTATGGATGGCTAAGCCAGTTTTATCCCCAGGCTTGCTTCTTTTATCTGGCATCCATTCCGATAACGAAGGTTTGTTCTACAGAAGTGTTGATTGTGTTGGTGAAACTCCAATGAATGAAATAGCTCAACATTTTAAAAACAAGTCAATAGATGGTGTTACAGATATGCAAATCAGTCATAAGTTAGTTTCAGAGAAAAAGAGCTTGTTAGCTGATGAAATTGTTCTATCTGATGGTTCCTCACAAGTACTTACAAAAGAAAAATTGCTTGAGACCAAGATAGATGATGAGGTAATAAGAGATTGTGATGGTTTTGTGACAAAATCAGCAAATGCCTCTGTTGCTGAGTGTGTGGTTGAACCCCCTCTTGTGGTGCTGCAAGTTCATGTGCCACCATCTGTTTATACTGCCAAACTCCTTGCTGAACCACCGCTTTGTCGTGGAGATTCTGTGTCTATGGTGGGGTTGAACAAGTGCCAGATGACAACATCCAGGAAGTCAATTGTCACTAATACTGATGAGCTTGGACGAGTTAGAGCTGTATGCGAAAGCTTCTCAAAGCCAAAGAAAAAAATTCTCAGCGATAGTAGTTTGTCGGACCAAGGATTTTGTGGACAGACTTTCCTGCTGACAGTTCCCATATGTGCTGGGAATGAAAAGGTGGTGATTGTTAATTAATAAAGCTGCAAGGGATGGAGTACTTGCAGCAACAGACGGGTCTCTTGTGAAATGTGAATTAAAGGTGGGATCTCAGCAACTATGTGTGGAATCTCTTGGAGTGCAAAGGCTGAAATTTCAGAAATCATGTACTTCCTTTGGCAGATCCCCTTTGATCATTGATACATCTGATACATCTCCAATCTCGTGGAGAGGAGAGAAACATTTTCTGAAGGGTCAAACTCAAGATGATTGCCTGCCAGAGATTCCCATCTTTGATGCTTTGGATATTTTAGAGCAACCTGAAGGAATAATCCTCCAAGGTGATGACCACAGTGAGATGCAAGAATTACTTGGATGTCGTGAAAATCCTATGGTGAAGAACATAAAGATGAAGGATCAAGTGCTGAAGCTCCTCACTCAGAAATCAGTGAGATATTGAGAAGGTAGAGGCGTTAGGATGAAGATAAAGTGGAAGATCAAGGCTGTCTCCTATCACCCACCTTGAGGACAAGGTGGTTGTTCAAGGGGGGAGATATGATAGGGCCCTGGGCTGTAGAGAATTATAAAGTAGTAATAGATTGATATTAAATAAGTATGTTATTGTATAAATAAGAATTTTGGGCCAGGTTATAAAATATGGGCTGGCCCGTTAGAATATAAGTACTATAAGAGTGGGAAGGAGAGAGGGGGGAGGTTAGGCAGAACTTGGATTGGACTGGAACTTGGGAGAGACGAGGCACTCTCGAATTTGCCCTCATCTGTATCGTCACTTTCTGTTTCTTCAATTTCAGTTTAGTAAATCAACAATTCATTGCCAGATTTTTCCTTGTACCTATCACTAAGACTGAAACCAGTCCAATTAAAAACACCCTAAATGTATGAAGATTTCCTAATTTAGATTAGGAATCTATGTCAAAAGTGAAGGAAAATCTAAATTGTAGTTGTAAAAATAAAGAAACAACTAAACATGTTTACTTTTTTTGCTGGGCTAAACGTATTCATATATGTATGATATGAATTTCCATTTCCATCCTCATAAAGGTAAGATACTTGATCAGAAGTTTTAAATGTTTTCATATATGAATATCTAATAGTATATATCAATTTCATTTTTAAGTTAAAAACTCTTGTGGTTATAATTTTCATCATTATCTCAACAATTAAGAAAGAATGGTATGATGATGCAAAAAAATACGAAGTATTAACACAATTGCAAATATAAGTCTGATAACTTTAGTCATTATCACATTGAGTTTAGAAAACATTCAAAAAATTGAGTTTAGAAAAATAAAATATTACTCCGTACTTTTTAGGAAATGGAACACTATTATTACTTTATTTGTAAAATAACTTTAAAGAACAAAATTGATAGGAACTTGGATGATTTATTTGTTAGGTGCGCAAAACACGGATAATTCACTTCTCAATAGAATGTAATAAAAATAAAAGTATAAAAATAATTAAATTTAATAAAGTCTATGTGCACGGATGACTATTTATTGTTGTGGTTGCAATAATTGCTTATTTTAATAACAATCCATATTACTACGGAGTAAGTAGTAGATTCTGAAAAAGTTATCCAATAAGGTGGATTTTATCATACGCGACGGTCTTTTGTTTCCATATCAATATGTAATAAAAAATAGAATGTAATAAAAAAGGTATAAATAGTAATTAAATATATAATTGTTATATATGATGACATGGCAGGATTATGTGGCACACCAGATGCTCTTAAAATTCCTCTTATATATATTTTAATAAATATCCATATCAATGTTCTAAAACTCGCTAGGCGCTAGTCGGGCGGCAGAGGGCCGCCTAGCGCCTAGGCCGACTAGTCGGCGACTAGTCGGCGATTAGTCGGCAACTCGGAGCATGTATTTTTTTGCCTCAATTCAGTCATTCACCCATGTGTTTATCCATGTATGCACTAAAAAAAATAAAAAATAAGCTTCCATAATTAATGATTTAATGCCATAAATGGTTAAAAAATAGGAGCTTCCATTGAACAACTTAATAAGCAACGAACCTAACAAGTTCAACATAGATCACTATCCCAAATAACAAATTGATAAACAAAAGTTTAAAAGTTCAGCCAAGTAATCAGTAATCAAGGATTCAAAATACATGTTATAACGTGTATAACCTATAAACTAGAACGGTTTTGTTAATATGGATAAGATTTTAACTGTGATGATACATTGAGTCATTGATACCCTATGAGAACAAAAAGTATTGCATATAACTACATACAAAAGGTATTGTATGTTACGTTAGATTCCATTGAAAGAAAATAATAGTCTGATGTCAAGATTATGCACTTTTTGTTCCTTTTTCATTTGTTTTTTGAACTAATGTTTGCTGTGATTCCATTGCAAGAAAATAATAGTCTGATGTCAAGATTATGAACTTTTTGTTCTCTTTTCATTTGGTTTTTGAACTATTGTTTGCTGTCATGGAGTACTTAGTTACTTGTTGGCTTCCATTTTGCTTCAGTTTTCCAGCTAATAGCCAAATACTACTACATACAACATTATACTCTAAAGTCTAAAACTGTAAAGTCTAAACCTTAATACAGTTAATTTTAATTTGCATTAGAACGTACTACTGGAAAGCTTGAATGTTCAAAGTTGACATTAAATTATAAAAGAATGTTCAAAGTTGACAGTTTAAGTTTATCTGTTTATAGTTTACACAAACTTATAAAAGGTTTCAGATTTTTAGTAGGTTAATTTAATCAACTCTAACGGTTTAACTAAAATTATACTGTACCTAATAAGCTTATAAGCCATAAAAAACAGATCCATTCTGAAATAATTAACTTTATTAGCTGGCCAAACTATGAGTATTGCAGAACAGTTCATCTATCCAAATAGCAATGGACCCAACCTGTAGAAGTTAAAAAAAATGGTTTACATTTCTTTGAGGACATTTATCAAACACTTAACATACACAGTTCCAACATTGAGTTCATTACATTTACTTCTACCTTTCTATTAATCATTCACAATTTCACACACATTCATATGTATAGACATCCATGTTTGTACATATACTTTGAATTTTTGGGGTTGTAAACAACAAATCATATTTAGAATTTTATAAAAAGCTGAAAGTAGTGAAAATCGAACAAAGAGTGATGAGATTACCTGGAAAAAGTGTTCGCTGGTGCGACTGGTGCGGCTGGTACCTGGTGGTGGAGAGCTTCAAACTTCAGACAGGTTGCTCGGAGATCGTTAATTGAGGCTAGAGACTAGGGTAGAGACTTGTGAGAAGATGAGAAGGTGGGAGAGACGGATAGAAAGAAGTCTCAGTGGCGGAAGAGAATTTCTGAAAAATAAATTGGGTGAACCGACTAAAGCTCCGACTCTGTAAAATCGCCCTATTAGGCGCACTAGGCGCCCGAGAAGTCGGACGGCCGACTTTGAGTCCGATTTCATGGAAATCCCCTCGCCACATTAACGACTAGCGCCTAGGCTGCGCCTAGCCCGAGTTTTAGAACACTGATCCATATTAATACGGAGTAAGTAGTAGATTCTGAAAAAGTTACCAAATAAGGTGGATTATGTGGCGCGCCGTATGCTCTTAAAAAATTCCTTTTTTATATATATATATTGATTTGTTCCGATAAATTTTGCAATTTGATCTGAAAAATCCGAATTGTATCTAACACGAAGTATTAATAAAGTATAACAATCATTGTAATGAATGTTTTCTATTAACAAACATAGGGGTTGTTTGTCAAACGGCTTATCAGCCATTTTTTAGCTTGTTTGACTCAAAATAGATGTTTGACTTGGTTAATCCATATGAAGAAGCAGAAATGTGAAAAGCCAGACCACCCAGAGTTTAGGTTTAATCTCAGCTTATTCTATTTATTTTTTCCATCTATACCCTGGTGTGCCATAGTGCCATCTCCGTTCTTTATCTCAGCCCTATTTAACTTCTTTCGTGGTTTTTCTTCTTCTGATTTTTCCCCATTCTTTGTATTTTCGATTAATTTGCATTTCTTCTTCTTCTTCTGATTTTTCCCCCATTCTTTCTAAAAGATTTATTTGTTTAGATTTATTATACTTTTATTTTAAAATTTAATTTATTCTTTTTACATTTCAAATAAAATATTGTTTTTCTTAAATAATTTATTTTGCAAATTAATTATAGTTTTAACATTATCACTATTAGCATTACTCAAATATTATATATACACTCGTGTCCTTATACGTCTTTTTACACTCAAGCAACTGTTTTATAACAGTTAATTTTACCAAACATTTATTAACAACAAACTAACATAATAAACCAATCAAAATAGCTAACATAACCAGCTGTGATCAAACAGTTGACATAACTGGCTAACAGTTAAGAAGCACATTGCCAAACATGGCTATAATTATCGATTAGGGCCTTAAGTGGTCAGCGATTACGTACACCATACGTGTATGCGGATTCAATGACCACCCACTCATCTGATCATCACCAACTCCACAGCTAAATATATACGTTCTCGGTATGAATATATGCCCGCACACCCAACCCATAAAAGGAATAAGAACAGGAGTAGCAATATCCATCATGACCCAGAAAGCCGAGCTGGTAATCGTCCCTGCCCCCTTGGTAGGTCATATAGTCTCCATTGTTGAACTGGCTAAGCTTCTTCTTGACAGAGACCACCGCCTCTCCATCACAGTGCTAATCATACGCCACCCACTCGACCCTATCGCCAATACTGTCGTCCAGGCCGTTCTCTCCGCCGACTCCCGAATCCGGCTCCTACATCTGCCGGAGATAGAGCCGCCGCCGGCAGAGCTGCTCAAGTGCCCTGAAAACTTCATCACTACCTACATAAAAAGCCTTATGCCCCATGTCAAGCACTCGATCATCAACAACGTGCTGTCGTCGAATCCCGTCGACACCGCGCTTGCCGGAATAGTGTTTGATTTGTTCTGCAGCTCGGTGGTTGACGTGGCTAATGAACTCGGAGTTCCTTCTTACCTGTTTTACACTTCCGGCGCCGCGTTTCTCGGCTTGAATCTTTACTTTCCGGTTATGAAAAAGGAGTGTACCCTGTCCGATCCGGACTCGGTCGTATCGACGTTTTCCTGCCCTGTTCCGGCCCGGGTTCTGCCCACCTTCGCATTCGTCGAAGAAGGCTTCAAATCATTCGCATATAGTGGGAGGAAGTTCAGAGAAGCAAAGGGAATGATCATAAACACGTTTGAGGAATTAGAGCCATATGCTATTCAAGCTCTGGCGTCAGACCCGGATCTGCCTCCGGTTTACGCCGTCGGGCCAATGTTATCTCCACAGGACCACCACAACGGGAAGGAAGAAATCCTCGATTGGCTATCTCAGCAGCCGCCGTCTTCGGTGGTGTTCCTCTGCTTCGGAAGCCAGGGAGGGTTCGAGGCGCCACAGATCCATCAAATCGCGGAGGCGCTAGAGAGGAGCGGGCACAGGTTCCTCTGGTCGATTCGGCGGCCGCAATCCTTAAACAAGGCGGAGGTGGCCGGCGAGCTGTCCGATTTGGACGGGATTTTGCCGGAGGGGTTCGCGGAGAGGACGAGAGAGAGGGGGATGGTGTGCGGGTGGGCCCCGCAGATCGAAGTTCTGGCGCACAGAGCCACGGCGGCGTTTGTGTCACACTGCGGCTGGAACTCCATACTAGAGAGCGTGAGGCACGGCGTTCCGATCGTGACGTGGCCGATGTACGCGGAGCAGCAGACGAACGCGTTCCTGCTGGTGAAGGAGTTGGGGGTGGGGGTGGAGCTGACGGTGGACTACCGGAGGACGCAGGCTGCGGAGAGGGTGATCATGGCAGATGACATAGAGAGAGCAATAAGGGGTGTGATGGATGCAGAGAATCCGGTGAGGAAAAGGGCCAACGAGATTGGAGAGATTGGCCGGCACGCGTTGCTGGATGGTGGGTCCTCATTCTTCGCCCTTCAACGTCTCATTAACGATATTTTTAGGAATTGATTGATAATGAGTCAAGATTGATGATGAAATAAAGGAGGTTTCTATGTTACTCATACACGCCTATTTAGGCCAATTAAATTGTGGTATGTTGCCAAACTTTCAGTGTAATAGTTTATGGGTGTCGATTTTAATGAATTTTAGAATTCGAGATATCTTCAATATAGATTTCCATAGAATCTATTAAAATTCAGGTGTTCTCAAACATTTTGATTGATTTTGATGGAATTATAGGTTAAAAATACGTTGAAACCATTCCAGCACCATTCTGTGCCTCTCCCCTTGGGTTTTGATGGATTTCAATTTTCAAGATCCGTAGCTCTAAATCCAAACTTCTTCTTCCTCCTCACTTGAGATCCGCCTTCTTCGTCCTCGACAACTAGCAGGCAAGTACTTTCCCCACCGGCTGAATGTTGGAGGTCCGGTTTCGGGCTTTGGGTGCTCTAACTCGATCACCATCGCAACTGCATAGTTCGCCGGTTAGTTTTCCAGCCAAATCGGCTCATCATAAAGATGTCGAAAAGAGAATCATCGAGCAACCATAAAGACGTGAAGTAGCAGGTGGTGTATGAGAAGGTGATGTCTGGAAGCTTTGTGCGCACATCCATTGCAAAAAGGAGAAAAGAGAGCAACCATCTGCCTTCATGGAATCTGATAGAATCCCATAAAATCTGGTGGAGTCTTTGTAATTCTTTTACAATCCATGGAATTTAATATCCTAAAAAATCCTTCAAAATCTAGGTTAGGGACACCCCCTTTAGTTTGTAAAATATTTGTAATTTGTTTAGATTAGGTTTATTTTGAGCTCAAACAAGTCCATAATTACTCAAGGGACCATCGGTGAACCTCAAAAGTGGAAGGAAGGTGCAAGATTACAAGACAAAATGAAGGATTCTGATTTTTTACTTGTACCCGGTCGGGTACCTTGCTGAAAAATCAAATCCGGGAACAACTGAACAAGACAACGTGCAGGAGGATTTTTTACCACGTTCGAGTGTAATACCTGATCGGGTAACCGATGTACCCGGTTGGGTATGTGCCACTTTTCCAGCTTCCAGGAAGCTACTAAAGGTACCTGATCAGGTGCCATATATACCCGATCCGGTATACATCCCAGCATGCCCTAAACACCTATAAATACACCACATTTCTTTCCCATTAAATTGACCAATTCACATATACTTCTAAACTCAGTTTAGACAAGTATTTCCTTTATATATTGTAGTATGTTTAGTGACGAGCACTTTGTCACGGTGCGTCAAAATAATATTCGATACTAGCACTTATCTCTACAATCTTATAAAGGGGAATTTTGTCAGGGGCTTAACGGGCATAAGAAAAATGTTGGTTGTTCTTTGTGCATAATCAGCTTGTACTCTATATTTAATTTGTTGTGCGTTGTAACCTATCGCAGCTTCTACTATTGCTAACGGGTGGACGGAAGGGCTTAACACCTTTATCCCCCGTCTAGGTATAAATCAAGTCGGTGTAATTTTTGCCCTGCTGAAAACTCTCGATCTTACTCCTATTCCCTCCACCGACGATAACAATGAGGCCTCTCGGTTCCTCTCTTCCGTTTCAGCAGCTCAACGTTCTACCTTCCATAATAATGGCTCCTGCACAGCCGTTTGCTTGCTCAAAGGTCTGTCTGTCGCTTATAAATCATCTCTCCCAGTTGTTCACCAGATTTTCCGCTTCTTGCCTCTTCGATTCTTGTAAGTTTTTCCTCTTTCAATCAATTTACATTGTATCATTGATTTATTGTTAATGTTCTCAGCATCTGGGTTCATTACCTCCATCTACGTCTGCTTAATTCCAATTTCCTTGCCTCCCAACCCCCTCTGTTATTCTATGGACAGTGCCCCAGGATTAATTTGTTTATGGCAAAGGTTTGGACGGTGCCCCTTTAGATTTATGCCCTCTATGTGTTTGTGTAGATGTCCACATGAAGTTAGGCAGTTTATTGCATTTGGATTTTTTGTTTTGAATGGATCGAAATCGTCAATTACTGAATAAAAATAAAAATTTGGGGAACATATGTTATACACGAATGGAACTCAGCATTGAGTTTCTACCCAAAGTCCATTTAATAAAGAATAGCTCAGCATTTTTTGTGTTACAGTTTGTGTTTGTGTATGGGCATGTTCTTAAAAAAGCGGGATTCATAAAGTAAAACATGAGTGATAAGAGATTAAGGAACTGAATCATGGTTTTGAGAAAGTGGCTAAGGTTTATTGTGCCGTGGTTTGTGAAGGATCCAAAAATGGGCTCTAACAGTAGTCCAAATGTAAAACTTGCTACTTGAAAGCTATTTTAATGAACGGATGGGGGAATGAACAAATGTCTCTACTCTTTACTCTCTAAAAGTTTTGTTCCAAAACCTGGTCTAACAGGAAGGGATGATCAAGTGAAGTTGAAAAACAGTCCCTTATCCATTCCCACAAACCTTAAGTTGTTCGTTCTGATTTTTGGTTGACATAATCCATATCGCTTCTTCCTGCTATTAAGCAAGAAAAAAAGGTCCCTAGGTGGCAGTGGACTATAGTTCCAGAGTTCAAAACTGTCAGGCTACCCATCATTTGACCAAGTTTCAGTCCTCTGCTAAATTGGCCTGACTTATTACAAAAGGATTTTCACAAAATTGCAAAACATTCCACTATTGATCCATAAATAGTAGAACCAAAGCAAGAATAAATATAGGTATGACAGGACATAATATAAGTTAGGCGTGATTAATGTTGAGGGCAAGAGAGTAAAAAGGTTTCAAGTCATAAACGGGACTGTTGGAGAAATTTCCTTTAAAAGCTCAACTTCATTTCTTTTCTAATGTTAAAGCCGATTCTTTCCATTGATCCATTGAATACCACCGTTGAAAGTAAACCTATTGTATTTGTTTTGCATTAAATGCTCAATTCTATAATTATGATTTTATTATATTCATCGATTGATGTTTATCAATCAATGTTTATTTTAGAGTACTTTTTGAATACTTAGGTTGATGTACTTTTATTTGAGTTATTGTGCATTTTGTATATAATATAAACATAATTGAGTTATGCTAGGAAATAGTGTTGGTGCAAGAATAGTTATGCTAAGAAATAGTAGAACCAAGGCAATAATAAATATAGGTATGACAGGACATGATTAGCCATGTTAATACGTCTTATTTTATTGGGTAGCTAAATGGTGCTTTATTTGTAAAAACATTGATTTTTTTGTGACTTATAGTCCTTTGCCTACTGTGTTACCATGTCGGTGACAGTTTTTGTATTAATCTTTGGGTTGTTTTGCTTTTAATGGTTCGACTGCTGTGCAAGAAGCCTTTTTCATATGTCCATGAATTTTTTTTAACTTTTTGACTTTTGACTTTTTGGGAGTGCCTAAATCTCAGACACTGTCCTCAAGTCTAACTGAATCCATTACAAACTCGCTTGTATCCTTTTTTATAACTTCAGTGTAGGACTTTTTTACAGTTTACATCACCTAAAGCGAAAAAGAGATTTACACGAAGTCGCGAACATAAACAGCTGGAAACATGACAAGTACATTTATTTTAACACAACTACACAAGCTAAAAATATCCAAGATTACCTAAAAACTTCAAACAGATTTGGGCTTTGCCCCGGAAATGAATCTGGGAGCACAGGAACAAGCTTTTGGAACCAATGCAGAACCCCCTTTTTTCAATCTTGAAGAGAAAGATCATGTGCTAGGTTCAAGGTCCCTTAGTTAGCAGGTGAAACCTCAGCCTGCTCTAAGATCTTGTGTTAGGTTCAAGATTTTGGGGCAAATGTTTTGAGTAGGGTCCACTTCCGATTTGGATCGGGTAAAATCTTTCGAGTAAAAAAAAATAAACAAATTACTTAATGTTCAGATATTTAAAATGAAACATGAAGGAATAGAATACTTAAACTTTTAAACTTTATAGGGGATTTGCTTGTGCTAATAAAAAACTGCCTGGTCAATGTGCTAATTAGGAGCTTTTAATCTTACCTCAATAGTCTTTATTTTCGAAATGTTCTTACGAATACGCTTTTTGGCTTTCGAAATGCGTTTTTTAGGAACTGCCATTTAAAATGATAAATGATGACGCTATCTCTTCAATTCGATTGATTCTTAACAAAGTAATATTTGCAATTTGTGAGGGATGTTTTTAGCTAAAAAAATAAATTCTTGATGAAGAAATGAAAAAAAACTAATGAAAACTTAGGAAGCTTATCTCAAAAATAACATAGATTCCTTTTTTGGTATTATATAGGCTTGAAATGCACATTTGAATGCAGTCTGGCTGTCTCTCTCGCGTAGTGTCAGTTTTCTTTCGGGGGTGGATAGTCACTTGGGAAACTGCACCTAACATGTTCTTCTTAGGCCATAACTTAGTTTAGTTTGTTGGGTTTGATCCAACAAAATAACAGATTGTTGCGGGAAGCGTGAAAACAGTTTTATCCTACGCTTACCTTTTCCAATCAACATATGCTTCCCGCTGTTTATATCATTTTCAGTTTCCCGGTAGTAAGAACCTAATTTGACCTTTTGTGTGCTTTTTGAAACCTTGTTTAGGCTTGGGAGATTGTTGGCACTTTGAGCTAGGCGTGTGTCATCTGGGAGTAAGGTAACTTTCTGCATCCTATATTACGCGTGCATTTCCTGTCTAATGTATTTTAGAAGACTCACTACTTCAAACACAAAATAGCAGTGGCATATTTTTAGAATGGTACATACACACATAGAGCACTATGGCCCAGACATATAAGAGTGTATAAATACTGACATATTTGTGAATTTTTACTTTAGTTCGGCCCTCAAGAGGCGTTTGCTTCTGTTCAAACCAGGTCAGGACCCTCCTATACCGTGACATCCTTACATGATGCATCACATTACATTGTTGCAACCAACGCCAATCCATCAACCCCGCCTTCATCAAAGATGAAGCTCCCGCGCTCGGGTGAAGATGACTCGCCTATTGATCTGAAGTGAAAGAGAAAAGCCTAATTGTTTATCATTGTTTTCCACGCCTTCAATTACTCCAACTATTTTCCTAGAACATTTACTTTAATTTTCTTAAAGCATTAGAACCCGGCCACATTTTGCCTATTTCTCCCACCAAAACATATTTTTGGGTTTATTACTTCATGCGAACCTTAATCATATTATGGTTCTTGCATTCATATTGGCTATTCTAGCCTATAAATGCTTTATTTATTACGCTTCTTTATCGATAAATATCAAACTATGTATTCAATTGGTCTATTTGAATTACACTCACATTTTCACTAAACATTTACCGATATATTATTTCCCCTACAATGGTGTTGGGCATTATCACGCACGCGCAACGCGCGTTCTTAAACTAGTATGTAATATAGGTGAAGTAGAGTTTGTATCCACAGGTAAAAGAACAATTCTCTTTTTAGTAAAACTAGTAAATAAGGGGGTTTTGGGATTGAGTGATTTAATTTAATTAAATACGAAGATGAACGATTTATATGAGATTTAATTCAAAGATAAAAAGGACTTGGCATTGCTACTTTCCACTTGTTGATATATTTTAGTCGATCATTGATATATCTATAACTTATCCCCTCTCGAATACTCAATCGAGGAGTATATCCAATTCATCAAGGGTAGTTATTAACAACGGTCGTTCATTAATAACCCTTACTATTAGTCAAGTATAGAACACCGCCATATAACGACTTGATAGTAGCATTTAGGGCTTGTTTACTAACAGAGATTTTTTCCTGTTTTCTACTTCTGTTTTTCGTTCTCCAATTTTCCATTTTTACTTTTCTGTTTTTCTACCACCAATTTTATGTTTCTATTTTTTAGTTTTCCATTTTCAAATCTGAAAACATGTTCATCAATTTTTTCACTCAATTCTCCAATTCCACACCCTTGACCCCTACCCTTACCACGATCTTACACTCTACCCATACTCCCCCACAACCCTTCATACCCACCCATACCTACTCATAGGGGTCGGGGTAGGGAAGTTATGGGTGGGAGTGGGGTAAGGGGTATGGTCGGGGTGGGGTGGTAAGGTCTAGGGTAGGGGTTGGGTGGGGGTAGTTGGTGGGTTAGGGTCGTGGTTAGGGGTAAGGGTGGGGTAGTGGGTAGGGTTTGGGGTGAGGTAGAGGTAGGGTATGGAGTTGGGATAGGATGGCGGTAGGGTGGGGCCGGGACCAGGGTGGGGCTGAGGTAGGGAAGGTGTAGGGGGTGGGGGTAGGATGGCGGTAAGGGTGGGGGTAGTGGGTAGGGTTGGGGTAAGGTAGGGGTAGTGGGATAGGATGGCGATAGGGTGGGGCCGAGGTAGGGGAAGGGTAGGGAGTAGGATGTTGGTCGGATGGCGGAAGGGTGGGGGTAGGATGGCAGTACGAGGGTGGGGGTAGGATGGCGGTGGGGTGGGGCCGAGGTAGGGGCATGTGGTAAGGGGTAAGGGGTAATATACGGGTGGGGGTAGTGTCACGCCCCGGACCTAACCGGACACGTCAACAATCCGCCGTACAGTACGAATAGTCAACCGCAG